GACCTGGCTGAAGTCGGACGCTTAACCGACTGCGCCACCCAGGCGCCCCTCATTCACTTTCAAAACTGTTTGCATTTAGAAAGTTTTAATCAGAATAAAATTAGTAAATATGATGAAATGCAACACATAATTTTCTGCTTTCCAGTCAGAAGAAATATAAACATATTTTTTATGTATTCTATTTAAGCATTGTTTAAACCAAATCGAAACAGCTGATGCTCTTTGAAGAACCATAACCTGAATAAAGATAAATTTAGGGTCAGCCATTACTTCTGCCTTCCATGTTCTTTCTTTTCTTTTTTTCCTGTTGATCTAGGGTCTGAAGGATGTTTCTGGCATAAATATCAGGCTCCTTTAGGAGAACACTGCCAGTGTCTAACCTGTCTTTAAATTATTTGCTTTATGTGATCTTGTTGAAGCTGATTTAAAAAATGAAAACCTTGTTTTGACTTCAGAATTACCAGTTTATTGAGGAAATTTCAGTTTATTGAGGAAATTGATCTTGTTAATAAAGATCAATATCAATGAACAGCTCGTGTTCTCATTTTTTAAAAATTCTGAATTTAAAAATATGTCCTGGAAATTAGTAATTTAAATTGATGTATTTATTTCACTCTACTGTAACTGTATGTATCATAAATAAAGTAAAAATACATGTTCAGGGGCACCTGGGTGGCTCAGTTCGTTGTGTCCAACTCTTAATTTTGGCTCAGGTCATGATCCCAGGGTTGTGAGATCGAGCCCCATGTTGGGCTCCACACTCACCATGGAGCCTGCTTGGGATATTCATTCTCTCTCTCTCTCTCTCTTCCTCTGCCTCTCTCCTCCACCCATGCTTTCTCTAAGAAGTAAAATAAAAATAAAAATAGATGTTCAGAAAGGATTGAAATGAGAGAGGGCAGCCTTTGAGAGTTAAACATATTATTTGTTAGGAAGGGAATAAGGATTGGAATAGGTTTTTGAGAGGCCCACCGTTAACATTATAATTCCCAGATAAAGGAAAGAGTTGTTGATGTTCTAGATACTTAGGGAAGAAGAATGAAAATAATACTTGTCGTAGTGGGCATGTGTATCACATCCTGGCTAAGATATTTATTGAGAAAATCCCATGATATTTACTCCTGTCAACCTTGAGTAGGGACCATCATAATTCCGTCTTCATTCTAGTTGGGTTACAGATGGGGCATCTGAAGAAAAGGAGGTATAAGGGATAGAGACATGGTGGTTTCCTTTTCTTCACATATTTGAAAAAGGTATTAGGCTTATTCTGTAGCTTGAGAACAGAACTTGGGCTAATGTAAATCAAAAGTCCCCTCAACCCCTGCTAAATTTAGTGTCAAAGCTACTTTTACTTTGGTGGTAAACCTGAACTAAACTGACAGGAAGCTTTTTCCTCATTAGTGCGACTTGAGGTTTGCTGAGAAACATTAGAATGTTTGATTTCCAGATGCTGTTTCAGACCCCTCTGGAAGAGTTACAAGGTTTAAGTATGGTATTAATTTTCTAAAATCCATAAAATCCTGGTCCCTGGTATGTAATAAGGGACTTGTGCTTGACCAGGATGACCCGCTCACTAGCTGAGGGGTAGGATGGCCTTCTCCCAGAATCAGAGTTGGATTCTACTTTTACTGTTTGGCAGGAAGAGACTGCTTTTTCCTGGCACTGAATAGAATTTTTAAAGCTGCTTACAAAAGCTCTTGAGAAAGTTTGAGCAATTCCCTGAAGGTCAACATTTACTTACATCTAATAGTGTTGAAACATATAAATTGACATTAGAAAAGATAGCAGGTAATATTTTATTTAAAGAATGATTAAAGCACATGGTCTATTGATAATGAATTCTTCATGGCATTTTAGAGTTTTCTCTGGAACATTTCTAAAGTATGCAAAATTATAAAATAGAAGTAATCTTCTGATAAGTGTTATAAATATCCAGCATCATCTATAATAAGAAAAACCATATTAAAGTTTTAGTTGAAGACCTTTCTGGAGGAATATTTGCTCCTATATCATTAGGTGATATTGATGCCATATTTGCTTTTCTTATATTTTAGGTATAAGGAAGAATACTCTGAATACTTTTTATCTAAAAATATTTTACTATTTAGTAAAATAGTAATAACAGATACCATTTACTGAGTATCTACATTATATCATGCAATCCTCACAACAATCCTATGAAGTTAGGTGGTATTATTTCCATTTCACAGGTGAAAATGATCCTTCTAAAGATTTTCCCAAGGTTATTCAGTAAGGGACAGAGCTGGGATTTGAATCCTGGTCTGCCAGGTTCCGAAACTTATTCTGTATTGTCTACTAAGGTCATGAAGCTTTGATGATTTGTTGTGTTAAGTCTGCAGTTTGGAAGATTATATATTATTTAAGCAGTACTCACATTAACAGTAACACACTTAATGGTTTATGACTTGACTTTAAGGTCACAACTGATTTAACTAGCATCACTGTAACTGTTTGCATAATTTGAACCCAAAGAGAATTTACTTGATAATATCTGAACCTAAGGATATGTGGTGGCAATTCGGTGTTGTCTTGCCAGCATTTCAGACTCAAATGGAAGCATATGCTAAACTTGTATAGTAAGAACATAACAATCTAAAACCTGAATATTTGGCACTTGAAAATTCCAACCACTTGTAGAAGCTAAATGCTATATTTTCTTACAGTGTAAGAAACGGTGGTTGGTATTATTTTCTAACATATTTGAGGTTTTAATAAACTGATTTAAAAATACATCATTTGAAGGAAGCATTTATAATTTAAGTAGGCTAATTACTGCTTTCATCAGTATACCTTTCATCATGCTATTAATTTATCAATATGGATGTGACCTGAGACTATTAAACTCCTAAGATAAAAAAAAAATTAAATATATAGTAGTACTTGAAAGATATTTTGAGATTTTACTAACCTTAGTATATAACTTCTGACATAGGAGGGAGAGAATTATCTCTGCCAAAATAAACAATACAGATTACAGTTATTATATGAAGGTATTCTTGCCATAATTTCTTCTTTGCTTCCACTCACATCTCCCATCTTATGGTCATTTTATTGCTGATGGGTTAGTATTCATACAGTCATGTGTATTGGCAGATAGAAAATAACACGATCCTGTTACATCTTAAATGGTGATAAATTGAATCCTCAACTGGGTTTTTCTGCAACAAAGCACTTCGCTTCTCCCACTTGGCCTTTGATGGCCTGATAAGAGCATTTGATGTGGTAAGAAATACTAAGTAAGCATTTGGGGGCAATGAAATGTATAAGGAGGAAAACGGGTGAAATCCAATTTCTTTCTCAAAATTGGGACTCAGAATATTTTGACTCATTAGCTTCTCTCAAGGTAGATTAACATTAATTTATATATAATAATTTTGATTGACATTAATTCAGATATTTAAAAAAGGAATATATCTTTTGTATGTATTTTCAATTAGCAATAATCGTGCCTTGGATAAACCTCATTGGCTATGATACACCCACTGCCCAAAGCTTATCTTTTGGGGCGCCTGGGTGGCGCAGTCGGTTAAGCGTCCGACTTCAGCCAGGTCACGATCTCGCGGTCCGTGAGTTCGAGCCCCGCGTCAGGCCCTGGGCTGATGGCTCAGAGCCTGGAGCCTGTTTCCAATTCTGTGTCTCCCTCTCTCTCTGCCCCTCCCCTGTTCATGCTCTGTCTCTCTCTGTCCCAAAAATAAATAAACGTTGAAAAAAAAAAAAAAAATTTAAAAAAAAAAAAAGCTTATCTTTTGTATATATTTTAAAGTGAGAACAAACTTGGATGAGAATCAAAGAAGTCTCAAGATTTGTAGCCTCTCCATCCAGCAAGCTGATGCTTTGGTGTTAAGGAGATGTTTTGCCTTGCCTTGAAATGAGGCCATTTCTAGATTTGGTAGTTTCACAGCAGACTTTTCTCACTGCTTACTATGAATTGTCCATAAAACAAAAACAAGCTTGAGGAAAAATTTACTGTTTGAAATTTCTTAACATTGCATATACTTCGTAGGCTGAAATTTTGTCAAATACCATGGCATTATGAAAATACCTTTTTAGACCTGCAGAAATTCTGATCTAAATTGTTTAGAGTTTATAACTCAGGAGCTCTAATTTGGGTAAGTCAGTTGGGTTTGATTCTGCCATATATTTTTATAGTTGAGGAGAGTTATTCTTACCTTTCCTGATATTAAATGTCACTTGTTTTTATCAATATAATCATAGAAATAAAGTCTTACCCCAAAGAAGCCCTAAAAGATAAAAAAAAAAAAAAAAAGACATTACCCTCAGTCCATTAAATAGGTTTATACTTTATAATAACTTAAAAATTAATATGAGGGGCGCCTGGGTGGCTCAGTTGGTTAAGCGTCACACTTCCGCTCAGATCATGATCTCGTGGTTTGTGAGTCTGAGCCCCTTATCCGGCTCTGTGCTGACAGCTCAGAGCCTGGAACCTGCTTCAGATTCTGTGTCTC